AATTGCATGGATTACACGGATTAAGTGGGATCCCACTTATTCCCAGTTCTAGCGCCAAATAATGGAAAGACTACGTGAAACAATAAGAACTGGAGAAGGGAGCACGAAAATCCGTAGGAGCGGATGAGCTCGCCTGCTCCTGAAATCGCTAGGCGCTCGTTTTCGCCGGGATTGGGCCATGTCAGGTATTGTCGGACGTATACGCTGTGTACTGAGCTTTGCAGGTAGGACAGGACCCACGATTAACTAACGGGTGTATCACGGCGTAGAAGCGAGGACGTCCAGGACGTGCGAGCCGGCACATGCCACTGGAAATAACAGTGTTGCTCCACGTCCACGCCTGTGATTTGGCACACCTATTACAGATCAGGAGAAATTTTTTTGAGGGTACAAATCAAGAGATTTGATGCACCAACTTTTGCATGAGCCACAAAATAGAACTAGTATTCATACGTGGACTTGTTCGTGAACATGAATGCGGAAGCTGGCCATCCAACTTCATACCTCTAGTATCCGTCTTTATTAACTTAAAAAATGTCAAGCCGCTTTGCATAAAATAGTAGCCGCTTTGCACTAAATAGAAATCACTTTCCATCAAACCGAAACCGGTTTTTGCCAAATAGTAGCTGTTTTTCACCGACGGTGCAATGACAGATGATCTAGATAATATAGATTGTCATGCTCCTAAAAATAAAATTGTCATGCTATATACATACGAAGGTGTCATAAACATTATATAAAAATTGTTAATGTTAGCGCGACCTAGATGACCTACGAGCCCATTGTACTTACAATGGCAAGTTAAAAAGACTTTGGTTTCTGAAAAAGCATGACAAAAATAATAACAAAAACTTTTTCAATACTCACATGGAAAATTTCAAAATTGTTTTTTGCTATTTCTCTACAAGCGCACACATTCATATTTTTGTTGTTGTTCACATGGCAATCTTGTAATGCTCGCAAGGCATTCATGAACAAAAATTCTCTATAACGCATGACAATTCTCTAAACACCCCTACAATTTTTATACCATGGCAACTATTTTTTCTATGACTTTGCTGGCAAAACTAGATAGTGGACCAAGGCAACTCCAAATTTTTCTGTTATCTTTTCATGTAACGAAAAATTCACTTCCCTATTTTTTTCTAAAATGATGGCAACTAATGACATAGCAAAATTCGTAGATTTTGTACAATAAATTTTACATGCTAGGTTCCAAAAAAATTATTTGTGATGTTACCCACAAACAAAAATGACATGGCCAATACAATAAATTTTCGATGGTCAGATATAATAAATTTGCCATAAGTGCAATTTTTTAAATGTAGTATAAAACTTAAACTGCACATGGCGAAAACATCAGAAAGTTTGCCATGGCTAGTTTATAAATAAAAATCAAGTAAAACTTTGTCATGTAATGAATACATATATAATACAAAGGTTTGCCATGACATGTCTATATATGTATTGCAAAACTTAAGGTGGCATGGCAAAAAAGATCTTACTTTTTTTACCATGGTAACTAAAGAGATGTAGAATAGCTACTTAAGTGCCATGGCAAAAACATATTAAAGTTTGTCATGGCTATCATATAGTTGTAGTACAAAACTTAAATTGCCCATGTAAAATTTTTTTGCAACGTCAAAGATTATAGCTACAAAACCAAGTAAAATGTCATGTCATGTACTACCTCCGTCCTGTTTATTGGTCCTCATTGTATTCTATGTTAAATTTTGACCATAAATTTAACTAACAAAATGTTCATGCATGTCAATAAAAATTATATCGTTTTAAATTATATTCAAATATGAATCCAACGATATAATTTTTGTTGACATGCATTAACATTTTGTTAGTTAAATATTTGGTAAAAATTCGGCACAAATTACGAAGAGGACAAATAAACCAGGACGGAGGTAGTACATAGTTGGAAGCAAATAAGAGATCATAAACACTCAAAACTAATAAATGACAACATGGCAAAAATGGCAAATCTGTGTAAAAATTACCACGACACTACTTGCCATGATGTTGAGAAAAACCAAAGCATTGCAATTGCGTATAAATTTTGCTATGGTGCCTACGCAAATATATGCCATCATGTTCTTAAAAACAGTGCACATCATGGCAAAGTTAAAGAATTTGTTCATTTATTATGGCAAATTTAGATTTTTCCATGGGACATGCCAATTTTTTTAGGAATTTTGTTTTCTAGAAACACGGCAAAAGTGCCATAAAAATGCCATAGTACAAACAATAAAGGGAGAATTTGCCATGGTTTCTACAATAAAAATGACATTATAAACACATTTTTTTTTACATTTGTCATGGTCCAATTCAAAAAAGAATACCTGCATTTGCCATGTGAACACGATGACATATTCTATAGAAAATACAATTCAAAAAAGGTTGCATAGTTGTGTACTATTTATTTCAACAATGGCCATTTTATAGAAAACACAATTTGTTTCGAGAATTGTCATCAGACAACTATAAATTTGTTTCAAGAATTGTCATGATTTAGAAAACAGAATTCATAAATCGTCATGTGATGATTACATTTCTTCCTAAAATCTGCCATGTGTTGGGGAACATAAATTTCTGAATTTGTTGTGTGACCAATAGAAATTTCTTTCAAATTTGCCATGTTCAAGAGGAAAACACTTTCGCTCACGAATGCCATTGACCACTACAAGACGTTTTCAAGAAATGGCCAACGTTACAAATCGATAGCGTACACATTACTACTATGCTTCAGATGCCATCTTCAGAGCCCCATGTTGTCATGCCAGTAAGGTGAACCTGAACCTAACTGAACTGGACTGAACCTAAATAGAGAAAAACAAGAGTATGCTCACATTTTGACAGTACTACTTCGCTTCACATTGCAGTCGACACTAAGGAAATGGTGAGAGAAAGATGAGGAGAGGAAGTACCTCATCTGCCGCCTTAGATTATTCCATGGAGCTCCACACCCGTCACCGCTTGGAAGCCTGCTGGGAGGCGGCGGGATGACGCCACTGGAGAGGGACGATGCGAGCAGAGCAGGATGAGATCGGGGAAGATCTCGGGCGTGTCGCGAAGAGACGAAGTCTATACGTCTCGGCGTGGAGAGCGAGCTCTAAGTCGGCAAACATGGCGGGTCGTCCTCGTCGGGGTGCTTCATCTGCGCGCCGAGGTTGTCCTGAAGGCGGCGCTTGAACCCCAACACTAGCCGCTTGGTCGGCCGAGGCCCAGCACGTCGGTTGTCGCGTACTCCTCCTCCACCCGCTTCCGCTTCTGCACGGTTGAGGCAGCCTCGCCGGTCGGCGCCGGCGATGCGCCCGCGCATGCGTCTTGCTGGTGTGTGTGGTCCCAACGAAACGGCTCGTCAGTTCCCGTGACGGCAAGGCCTGACGCCGTAACCCTGCAATACGGGCCAAGGGCCGTATATCAACCATTATCTACACTTCTAAGCCCGCCACGTATTAATGTCGGCCCCATGTGCACGTTGTACCATTGGTCCACTTAGCGAGAGCACACGAGCTCGGGAGCGCTATCGCCGTTCTCGAGAGGGAGCATGCCTATTCTAGCACAAATAAGAAATAGAGCAATCCATGTGTTCCGTACAGTCCCAGCTAATCATGCCTATTCTAGCAAACAGAGCAACTGAAGTTAGGCTAACCATCTTCCAGCAATGAACATCCAAGTGTCAAACACATGATTTATGAAGAAACAAATCAACGACTAACATGAACAAAAAATCACAAAAAAATTGACCATTAATTCAGACTTTCAGAGTCTAAGTCACTACATTGGAAATCTCAACTCTACATCACTTCACTTTCTTAAGAGTCTAAGCCATTACATTAATTCAGAAAATTTTCACAGAAGACTACTCTTGGATATTCAGTATGCACAAGGCTTGAGTTTTCTGCCTAGGAACAACTCTGTCTCCAGATTTGTAATCCAGCCGAGGAAGACCATTGGAAGGCCTCATGTGAGCTGTCGCCGGAGCCCGGAGTAATGATACAATGCGTTTCACCCCCTGGACTGCCTTTGGTTGAGCAAGCAGCATGCTGTGATGCAGAGGTTCAATGCTGACAGACTGACACCAAGATAGGAGGCCAAGATTAGCAAGTGCAATCCAGAGCAGGGAAGCTTCGAGGAGTAGCTTCCGCGGCCGCGACCGGGAAGGGAGAAGCTTCGAGGCGGGGAAGGGGCCAGGTGCGAGATGGAACAGGCGGGGGTGCGTCAGCGGCGTGCATCGATACGCGGCCACGGTGGTGCGCCTACGCCACGGCGCCTCCTCTGACCTCTCTGTCTACAGAGAAACCTATCGGAAGGAGCTGGTGAGCTGAGGTGGGTTCCCAATGGGATAAGTGGGATAGCCCGTTTAATTTATTTCCGGTTCAATGGGAGCCCATTAAAGTAATTTAAGTGGGACTACGGTTGCATTTGGGTGTCCTGCAACGATGACAATGTTGCAAAACCAATTTGTGTGGTAGGATTGTTGTGTGCCCCTCGATCAAAAATCAGATCGGGCAGTCACAGAGGCGGTTGACGAGCGATCAGCCATCAGCCGGGTGAGGCTAAGCGTTTCCCTTACTATTTTAGAATATAGTTGTACACCTCATCGACCTGAATATAGGTTTTAGTACTGTACTAAAAAAACACTCATAATATATGTGAACGAACTTTGCTTTTCCCATAATAGTAATACTCCCATAATATAAGCAGCAACAAGTAATATGGATTGGAGGGAGTAATGTAGTATATGTCCCAGATAATGTAGAGAGAAAAAAAATGCATAACAACTGTACAGAGTTTCGGGGCTTGATGGAAGCAACATAAAGCATACTCCGACTTCAACTCAAGTCTAACAGCAGGTCAATGCACCAGTATAGCCCTTTTGGGCAAAAGTTACTTTAGGCAACATGTACTACTAAGAAATAAGAACTCTGAAAGGTACGCTTGCTTCTGGTTGTAAGCTCATGTACAAACAATGGGTGGAAGTAAAATCACAGTTCATCATAGATGGGAGGACCATCTGTTGGGGCAGGTCCCTCCTGTACTTTAGCCAAGATGTCTCCAGCTGATACTGAGCCTGATCTGATAGCATCAGCCAGCTTCCTTTGCAGTGTCAACAGGCCAATACGTCTTGAGACAACGTACAGAACCGCCAAGGAGAACACGAGGAACCCAATGGTTAGGATGATCCTGGAACAGATAATAGTTAGAAACTGGCATGGTCCAGGCAGTATTGTTGTTACAAAAGCAGAAACTTGTCCTGCGGACGGAAACCAAATGCTTAGCACGACAGGAGTTAAACCCATTTGTTCCACTTCTTTTTGTTCGACTGAAAGGCCAGAACGAAGACGGTACGACCACATTGTAAACAATTGGTAATAAGGCTGGTTCTGAGTTCTACAAAAGATTGATGCTACATACCTATCGAGAACATCTTGTCGTTGCATCATGGAGAGCAAACCACGGGTGCGCATCAGCAAAGAGCGGTGCCCTTGATACTCACCTTCAGCCTTTCGGAGAACACTTGTCGATTCATCTGCATAAAAAGAAATTAAAATTAGCCAGCAACTTGGCCTTGATAGGTCTGGAAATGCATTAAAATGGCAGAAAAAGAGTAGTTATTCATATGGAAAACTTGAAGCACATGACTGTGCCATGGTTCCTTAGTACTCCAAGTTTTCCATAACAGTAAATGAACACCAGACTGAAATGTTTACTTCGCACGAAAGTTTCATTCAATTTGCTGCACAAGCTAGTGATCCATTTTTGTTCATAGCCAAGATCCTTTCTCGGGATGAATAAGTGAGTAATTATCATCAGGTTCGTCACACGCTTAAATGTACAGAACCTTACAAGCGAGCATCGTAGGCACAGGCTTAATCACAGGAAAACTTACCAAAAGTTGACAAGGTATTAGCACTTCTTTCCACTTCCTGTCAAAACATCTATAATAAATTACTTCTGAACTTACGACCAGAAAATCATTAGCATATGAGATACTCCTACGGAGGCGTGCTAACCTGAACCATCAACTGCCGAGACCTACGGAGGCTCTCAGTAATACTTTCTGCAGCGGATGTCATCCCAGCCTTTGTCCTACATCATTTAGAAGGTTCATGTTCATTGTATAAACAGAAATTACAGAATGAAAGAACAAATATAGCAGGCGATTCTTTAATTGGTGCAACATTTCGAGGTCATATAAATGAGTTACATCAACACAACGATTTCTAATTTCTTGACCACATTTCATAGTTCAACTAAGGAAAGTTATCTTTATCCCTGTTCTCTCCATATGGTGGTGAACATCACCATGCCAGTCACCCATAGGGACATAACCCTCCATCACTGCACACATCCACTGCCAATCTCCAAGCATCCCCAGTGAGTACCACACTGTCTGCATAGAAAGAGGTGAGATCATTGATTGATTAACTATGCACGGCAGTGGCTGCTGCTGCTATGTGACACATTCCCAACATGCCAGCTGCCTGTCGCACCCTATGCACACCGACTGTCTCAATGACTCCAACTTCCAACCTTGCAACACTCACTGTAGAAGCCAACCACACCTGCCTGGCTGCGCCTATTTTGCGAACAAGCTTGTTGATCCCTTTAGCAGCCAAGCTCTTCCTCAAGCACAGGAGTCGTTGGCAAATTTGTGTATTTTACTATTTTATGTTCTTTTTTAGCATGTGCCTATTTCAATAATTCTTGTTTGGATTCAGTTACTTCAGATTCTCCGTCATTTATCATGGGTAACTGACGTATCCACCTTCAAAAAATATGGCATCCATTACAGAAATTCTCAATAAAACGGAATAGTATATCTGCATTCTTCTAGGCAAGACATGTGCTTGGGGCGGCATAAATCCTACAAAATCTTGAGTTTTCTCATGTAGTTACAGTTGCTCCCTGCAGTTCAACTGAGCATGACATTCATGGGAGTTCTGCTGGCGATGGGGCGGGCAAGTGAACAGAACAGGATGAAGGAGAAGAAGAGAAGAGGTACATTTTTTTTATTTGTTGCTGATTATTGACTGGATGTCACCATGGCAAATATCCCATCATATAAGTTGCCAGTGTGGCAAAACCACCTCCATGTCAGCAGAACCACTAATCCAAACCACTAATGGCCATATGTGAGGGTTAAATAACCAGTTCCATAATTCAAGGAGTTAAATAGACTTTCTCAATAGAGTAGACCTGTTCCGTTAGAACTGAAAATTCACAACCTTTGGAGGCCTTCACGAATTCTACACTTGCAATAAATTCCCGTGAAACTGAACAGATCACAAACACATTCTACAACTAATGTCTCAAATATTTCAAAAATATACCAACAATACAAAGACCTCATTTGATCAACTTACTGGAGATTACGCCTCCGAACAGTGGACTCTTCTCCACCTCCCAGAAGAAGCTCCCTCTAGAGAGAGCAAAATTAGAATGTGAGAGCACCTTAAATTACAGGCAAGCTAGTATTGCTCAGGTAATAAAGTACTTCTCCGTCCCATAATATAAGACGTTTTTGCAAGCTAACATAGCTTGCAACAATGTCTTATATTATTGTATGGATGGAGTATATCAAACTAATGGAGCATACTCTGAAAAAAAAATCACACACCTCTTCTTGAGCAGCTTTTCCAATGTTCACTTTTGCTTGTAAGTTAGCACTCCTCAGGGCCGCACGCAGCCTGAAAACAAAAGGTCAGATGTATACAAAAACTAAAGAAACAGAGCAAATAAAATGAGCTCTAAGAACAGAATACCTCTGATACTGTTCCTTCCATGACCCTAAGGTTGCCTGTCCAGACTGAACTTCTTCAAAAGTGGGTAGCTGCTCTGCCAGAAGATCAAGCCTGCATTGCAGTGCATTCAGCAATTGCAGTGCATCCTGTGCAGAACCGTTCAACCTAGGAAGAGACATTGCTTCTTCTGTCCCTTTCCCCATCTTCCCACAGGATTCAATTGCAGCAATGCACACCTCAAGCTGTGCAACTGCTTGGCTCCATTCACTTTTCAGGTTTTCAACGGCTTGTGTGACCTCGTCCATCTTTATTATCTGAACAGATCAATTCAGCGGATTTACCATGCTGCTACTAATGAAGCAATAACTTGTTAAATACGAGACTTACAATGAAAGTGGAATCAAGGAAGAAACATTCAATTGGACAAACTGACAAACCAGCAGTAAATCTAACTAAGGAATTACACTGGGCTGGGCTCACTTCTTGCTGGTCATCAATTTTACCACCTCAACATGAGATCTCCGTCCAAACATACGCTTAGCCAAGGGTAGCACAAACCTAATCTGAACTAGAATGTTTAAGAAAAAACTGCTGCTCTAGCTGCAGTACCTAGTGGCTGGAGCAATGGAGCTCCAGACAGATGGTTATCGAATTCCAATTTAGGTTGTCCAACTCAACAGCACACGGACAAGGGCCATTACCCAATCCAAAATCAAATCTGTCTCCATAAAATCTAAACCAAACCCCCAAGGTGGTGGGGTCAGAGTCAAACACACATCTAACAAACTAAACTAAACGATCATAAGTGAACATTTGCATGTCGGTTAGATGAATGATTATACTTTCAGAAAATGATGGATATGGTTACAAACAGCTTGTAGCACCTTCTGAAAAATCAATCCCATCAAGTATCCTAGATTGAACTTTCTGTGGCTTTAACAACCAATCAAGCGTTGATTGATGTCGATGCTCTGCTGTTGCAAGCTGCTGATTTCTTCGGCGAGGTTATGTCCTTTTTTCTTTTTTAATATTTGGCTGTGAACTTTCTGTGGCTTTAACAACCAATCAAGCGTTGATTGATGTCGATGCTCTGCTGTTGCAAGCTGCTGATTTCTTCGGCGAGGTTATGTCCTTTTTTCTTTTTAAATATTTGGCTGTGTGCATGGGTGTACTTGGTATTAATATATTACCCCAATAAAAAAATAACAACCAATGAAGTAGCATTACAACAAAATGACAATTAAATGCAGACCTGACCTTTGGAACAGAGTTAACTATAAAAAGTTGACCAAGAAAATGCATTTTTTGTTTGATTGCCAACAAAATCTCTGCAAGGCAATGAAACCACAACCCAATTCAAAATCATGTTGGGTTGTCATATACTCACATTCAACTTTGAAATTTATACTTCATCTTCTTTCACATAGATTTGAGGTCGCTCAATACCCAGTACTCACCAAATTGTGAAATAAATACAAAAAAGCCAGCACCTCGTGATTCACGAACAAGCAACCAATCACATCTGGTAGGACCAAAGACAAAGGAGGGAAGCAGACGAGGTGATCCCGTGATGGGCTCGGCGGCTAATTATAAACTGACGATGTAGGTGGGCGTTGCTGGATCTGAAACCATACCCACAGGTGTTCCGTATTGCTGAGGAGGAGCCTTCTCCTGCGGTTGGCTGCCTGGCGGCCATGGAGCTCACTGGAGAAAAGATTTTGATGCAGAAGCCGCTGATTCGGAGAGGTGGCACTCGACGGTCCTCACAGGTGGCGGATTCAAGATCTGGCGCAGCGGCTGCTGTTGGGTTTAGTCCCACGTTGATTGTGGGAGACAAATCACGACTTAAAAGGGCGACCGTTGCTCCTCCTATAAAGCTAGAATTTTAGGGGGAGAGGACCCAAAACAATGCTTGGTGTAGCAGGTCTGTGCTGCCCCGGCAGCGGCTCCCTATTGAATAGAAACAGTGTGCTGGGCGAACAAGTATTGGATATTTGCTAAAATGACCCACCTTACTCTGCCACTTGCCTAGAAGGCCTATTTACTTTGACATGGATGAAATACCCCACTTTACTTTGCCCATTTGATAAAATGCCCTATTTCAGTTTCAACAGGTTTCTCGGTAATCTGATCTCACACCTCCAATGACCTTGTTGACACTTCCCTCTCTCTCCTCTCATTCATTGTGACGGCTGAGCTAGTTTCTCTTCAACCGTAACTCCAAATTGGCTGAAATTTGAACAGCACACTCACATGAATATATATTTGAATGTATGTAGTAGCTTTTTCAGATTTTTCTGCGCAGTGTGACATTTTGATCGGAATCTGAATTTGAATGGACGAAAACTTCAGATTGAAAATTTTCTTTCACTGGCATAAAATGAGCTGAAATTGGAACAACACACTGTTTTCTTGTAACACCTCGAACTTCCTTTATTCACTCACGATAAACTCAGAAGAACATGCTACTTTTATGTTAAAAAAATCAAGTTTTGTGGGCAGTTCCAAAAATTGGCCAAAATCTTAACTTGGCGATTTTGGCCAATCTGCCATGATTTCTAGAAATTTCGACAGAATTTCCCCACAAATAAACTCAATAAGAAGTGACACAAATGATTGGCGCAATGAAACAACAATCATTTCTTTGCATACACAAAAGGAAGCAAGAATATGTTAACATCTCACAAACTCCTCCTCAGTCCGAGACATCCGTTCTAGGGTTACCAAACTGGAGAAGTGCCTGGGAAAAATATACCACACAAGTGATTCCGAGTGATAGGGGAGAAAAACTCACCTTTGCGCCGTTGCGGAGGTCGTCCTCTCGGCGGGACTGCTCACCGTCGCACGCAGGGTCGCGACGGAGTGGTGCAGATGCAGGAGGGCACGGAGGCAGGGCCACGACGGAGGGCGGGCGCTAGGGATTCGTCGTTCGTCGTCGCTGGCCGCCGGCGTTGCCTGCCGAGGTCGCGGACGGAGTGAGGCGGAGGCAGGTGCGTGCGTTTATTGGGGCAAGCGCTGGGGCGGAGAGGGAGGCGAGTGCGGTTCGCGCAGCGTCCACAGCCAGAGACGAGAGATGTAACTCAACCCAGCGTACGCCAGCCGTCGAGGGGAGCGTGAGAGGGGAGGAGGTTGAGTGTGCGCTGGCCGCGGCGGTGCGCAGCGCAGGGAGCACGAACGGAGCAGAGGAGGGGGATGCGTGGCGGTGGTCCGTCGAGCTACGCCGGTGGCTGGTCGATCTGGATCCGCTGTAGTCTCTTCATTCAATCGCTAGTTGGTTTGGGCTTCAATTTTTTTTGGGAAGGTTTGGGCTTCAAATGACTTGGTTTTCAACCGAGCCCAGTCCACTAAAAAAATAAAAACCTTGGTTGATTAGCCCATGGGCCAACGCAGCCCCGGATGCATGCATTTTTTTTCCTTTTTTTGCGGGTGGATGATGCATGCAAGCTATAGTACTTTTTTTTTTGTCTCAAAAAAAAAAAAAGCTATAGTACTTTTTCTTGGCGCGCGCGTCAATCGTACACACGAGAACGAATCTTCCCCGCGCATGCAGGGGCAAGTCGGTACGGAGCCATTGCAGCCGTACAAGCTAAAGCAATCCCATGTCTATTCTAGTTCACTGCACCACTATCTTTAGTAGTGGCATGCAGATATATACGGGCCACGAGCCACCAATATCCGGTCCTAGCTCCCCTCCTAATGCGCGCCACTGCCCGAACGAACGCCGACCCATCATGGCCATGGTCATGGAGAACCAGCAGCCGGTGGCGCAGATGCAGCTGATCCCGGCGCCACCGCGCCCGCCTCCTCCCCCACCGCCGGCGCCCCAGGTCTACAAGCACCATTGCAAGGTGTGCAAGAAGGGGTTCATGTGCGGACGGGCGCTCGGCGGGCACATGAGGGCGCATGGGATCGCGGACGACGCGCTAGCCGCTGAGGACGCCTTCGATGATGATGGCGGTGGTGTCGGCGAATCGTCCGAGGCGGGGAGCCCGTCGCCGACGACGACCAAACGCATGTACGGGCTCCGCGCCAACCCTGGACGCCTACGGAACTGTCGGGTGTGCGAGAATTGCGGGAAGGAGTTCACATCGTGGAAGTCGTTGCTGGACCACGGAAGGTGCAGTTTTGACGAGGATGATGATTTGGATGGCTCACTTCGTTCGTCGTCACCATTGCATAATAACACCGACGAAGGCATAGAGGAGGTCGAGGAGGAGGAAGGGGACCTGGCGTTGGCCTCCGGATGGTCCAAGGGGAAACGCTCACGCCGCGCCAAGGTAATGGTTGTCGGAAGCGGTGCCATAGCGGAAGTCCAGCAACCGGCCCCATCGAGCGAGGAGGAGGACCTTGCCAATTGCCTCGTCATGCTCTCATCGTCTCGTGTCACACAACCAGCAGTCCATGTGGACGCCGACCAAGAGTCATCTGCATCAGCAAGCAAGGACGAAGAAAGGAATAGGCTCTTGGTGCCACAACCGCTCTCGATCATTCCTCCCATGACAGCGCAGTTCAAGTTTTCTGCGCCTCAGGTAGTAGTGGCGCAACACGTGCCAACCGTCCCACGGGGCTTGTTTGAATGCAAGGCGTGCAAGAAGGTGTTCACCTCACACCAGGCTCTCGGTGGGCACCGTGCCAGCCACAAGAAAGTTAAAGGGTGCTTCGCCGCCAAGCTTGAAAGCAGCCGCAATGAGACTACCCACCAACAGACTATGGCATCGGCTGCTCTACACGACAACACCAAGGCCATCCCTGAGGTTGTAGGAGATACCAGCACTGCAGAAGGAAGGACGGGTAACCTCGATGCCAATGCCAGCGGCAAGGCGACGAGTGTTGGCGCCGGCGAGGTCGGTGTGCCCACAGCAGCGACGGAAATGGCCATCATGCCGATCGCTGATGCAGCGCCGGCACCAGCCGCCTTCTCTCCGTTCAAGAAGAAGGGGAAGGTGCACGAATGCTCCATCTGCCACCGCGTGTTCACGTCGGGGCAAGCGCTCGGGGGCCACAAGCGGTGCCACTGGCTCACCTCCAGCGCGACGGACCCCGCCAAGCTCCAGCCCGTCGTTCCCGATCACCTCATGGCGGCCATGTGCCACCATCTCACCCTCGGCCGCCCGATGTTCGACACGGCCGACCAGCGAATCCTTGACCTCAACGTGCCAACAAATCCGTCGGCTGAGGCGATCGCCACCAGACAGGCCGCCGAGCTCAACGATATCCCGCTCTGCCTCAACGCGCCGGCGTCCATGTATGTGCAGTCCTGGACGAGGCACAGCAACGCCAGCCACGTGAACAAGACCGGGACGAGCAGCCGCAATGACGCGGCTGCCGGAGGCGGCACGGCCACGGAGGACGAGGCTGACAGCACCAGTGCGAAGAGGGCCAAGGTCAGCGACCTCAAGGACATGAAAGTGGCCGGAGAGTCGCTGTCGTGGCTGCAGGTTGGCATCGGCATTTCCTCGTCGGAGAACAACGAGAAGAATACTCAGGAGTGAGCCTAGAAGAGTACTCACAGCCGAGGTCACACCAATTAATTAATCTACTGATCAAGTAATTAGATTTTGACCTTTGTTGGGTACGTATATAGAGTAAGCACTTACCATATATTAATTGTCATATGGAGTATATGCTCGGTGTATATGCTGCATATGCATGTAATATTATTGCTAAGTTAGAAACTGAATGCCCTGTGTGCATACGCCATCCCAACTTCCGGGGAACTACTGTTGGCGACTGTAATTATGCAAGTCGGCTTATTTCCAACATGTTTCCTTCCGGTTTTTTAGAAAGCCTTGGATTTATGTTCTTCTTCTCTTTCTATCATGTAACTGTAATTACCTTAATTAATTGATTAATATGTTGCTCCGCAAGAGTTTCTAAACCAGTATTACTAGAAGATACCCACGTGTTGCAGCGGAACTCAACAATAATTTAGAGAGATATAATAAAATGAAAACATGTGTGCGATATTTATCTGAGTGACACATTTCAAAATGAAAACCAGTATATTTCATGCATCTTCTCAATTCCAATCTCACCATACTACTGAAAGTTTGAAACAGCAGAGTACATATATGTAGCTTCTTCGGGGGCTTCTAAAGAATATGACATTATGACTTACAGTGGGGATGCCAACTATTTTGAAGGAGGCTACAATGTGGCCTACAATAACAAAGACAACAACGTGGTATTTAACCGAGGAAAATGAAGGAAAGCTAGTTGAAATTACCCCAAGCTACCTCTCGCTCAACCAATGACCTACAAATCCAAAAGGCGTCTTAGAAGATTCATATTAAAAAAACGGTCAATTGACAAAGAGAAGAGTAACACTAGTGCAGAATTGGCCATTAGTCCCGCTTCATGAGGGCCTTCCGGTTCGTCACGACCCGAGACCAAAGGCTCACCACGTGGTACAAGCCCGCGCCGGGGGCTAGGGGTCCTTTAGTCCCGGTTGGTGACACCAACCAGGACTAAAAGGTTTAGGGGTTTAGGGGTTTATGGTTTATTTAAGGGTTTATGATTTATTTTTTCTTTTAATTTTTGTTTTCCATTTAATTTTTTTTCATTTCAAACATATTTTACGCTACCCCCAAGGTCGTCCTCGTCGACGACCATACACGTCGTACATATATAACAGAATTCGCAGAACCAAACATATAACATAGAATTTCTCTCTCTCTCTCTCTCACACACACACACACATACACACAATTTGGTATATACAATTTCTCCTACAATTTGCACATCATTACATGCAGGCATTAGGTGAAATGGTATTCTCTATTGGGATTTATGATCTGCTCAAGCAAAAATCCCGACATTTCCTCTTGAAGTGCTCATATGTTGTCTGTTGCTAAGAGCTTATCCCGCATCCCTGTCAACTTTATTAAAGAAGGAGATCAATATGAGTATATTGGTTGTGTATGTGTGTCTATATATTAGATCATAATAAAAAGAATTGTGAATAGTGTTTATTATGTACCCAAAGATTTTTTTATCTTTGCTACTTTCGGACGTCATAATGCGAATGTTCTCGCAAACATAGTATACACATAAATTATTCCCCGACACCTGCCTCATGCACTTTACGAGAATATAATTCAATCAGATAATAATTAATCAAGCATGATAATGGTATTAAAACTAGAATTAAAGAGATGTGCGGACGTAGCTACTACTATTTTGGTTGCCACCCTTTCAGTTTTGGTTGTCATGGTGGTTCGGGAACCTCTTTGATGAACTTTTCCCAAACCCTTCCCGGAAAAGAAAATGAATAAAAGAGTTATTAATTAGTTGATATCAGAAAATAAACTAAAGAGGCCGACATAGTGTGATAATGATTGAAATTACACGTCGAACATCAACCTCACGTTGTGGTATTCTTTAGGATCTATAGATAGTGAGTTCAGTACTTGAACTTTTCCCTCGTCAACTTCAATAACTAGCAGGATCCAGTGAAAACTACATGCGCGCACGTTTGTATAAGCGATGCATAACTCATCAACTACACTTATTAACTTAATTATAGTAAGCAAAATAGAATTTATAGTGTACAAGACAGTAACACTCACCCGAAGTTCAAGGAAGTACTATTTCAGGTTGGGTATTTAGCTTCTTCAAAATTTGTAGTAAGCTTTTCTCTGTGCATGCATGTTGGGCTGATTTTCCATACACCCTTCATAAACGGTATTTAGGTCAATGAACCCAATGCCATAGACTCGGTCTCTTTTCATTTCATATATCTTTATTCTGCATAATACCATCGAAAATAATATAGTGAGGATAATTATAGGCAACGAACGAGCACAGATAGAGACTTAAATTACAGAAAGAAATCACTTACAGAGAATAGCAACTGACGAGAGATTTGTCGAGTGCGTCTTGATTGAATAACTGAAACATTTCTGGAAAGTCAACCCACACATCTTTTTCATGGAAGTAATGCTCTGCCTTGACTTTCACCATGAGGCTCTCTCGCCCGTTATTTACTTCTTTCAGGTACCAGTCATGCAATGTGCGCATTTTCGTTGGTAGAAGCGGGACCTCCTCAGGCCTGACCAGAGGGTTCCCGCGGACATATTTCCATGCTAGTTCCTCCGCTCGAAGCTTGGGCGTGACTCAATACCTACGAGTTGTTCAACAGTGACACCGGCCTCTCTAGCCATCTCTCTATGAGTGTCGGTTATTACCGTCGGCTAATTGGCGGTACTCACATGTGATTGTACAGTGAGCGGGGAGGTCGATTGCACTGCCTGTTCTCCCAACTGAACAGTTTTCTCACTTTTTTTACTACCTGCTTGTCTCGAGCTCGACTCCTTGTCTTTTTGTGCATGATATGACTTCTTAATAGAGCGCTCATAGTCTAAGTCCATTCTCTTCACAGCCGTCGATCCATATCCACAAAGTGTTGTATGACTTCTTCGGGTATTTTCTCGTTTAGCGGCGGGGGCGGTTTCTTCGCAAAAAAGGCCTTCACTTGGGCATCCACTTCAGCGTTGTTTTCCTCGATGGTCATGTCGTAAGCCAACTTCTTTTTGGCAGGAGGAGAGGGTTTCTTGCTTGGTGCTTTCTTACGCTTTGGAGAAGGCTGACGCGCCCGAGATCGATATGGC